ACATAAAAGTAGGGGGCAGGGACTTGGGAAGAGATAAGACTAAAGAGGAAAGCTAGGACCAAACCTGGAGGACCTTCTAAGCCAATCCTAGAAATACAGATTTTTATACTGAAGGCAATGAGATAATCAGAAAGATGACTGAGCATGAGGGTTGCTGGCTAGAGTTAAAGACTAGAGGCTTGGAGACAAACTAGAAAACTGTGGCCTAAGTGAGGAATTTAGGCAGTAAAATCAGGAGGACTTGGTTATTGATTAGATGTATGTAGCGAGAGAAGGAATGAAAAATTACTTTCAGGGAGGTTGGACACTACAACTGGCTCACACCTGTAATCCCAGCACTCTGGGAGGTCGAGGCAGGAGGATCCCTTGACGTCAGAGTTCATGACCAGCCTGAGCAAGAGTAAGACCCTGTCTCTACAAAAAAAAAAACAAAAAAATCACTTTTAGGGTTCTGATGAGTGATTGGGGCCTGGTGGCCTACCAGAAAGAGAACACAGGAGGAAGAAGCAGTTTATGATGAGCGTTTTGTGGACATGTTGAGTTTGAGGGACATGCTCAGTGTGTGGTACTATGTATCAACTGGGTAGTTGTATTGGTGGCTCTCCAGCTAGGAGGGAGAGCTGGATTAGAGATAAAGATTTGGAACACTTGCTCACTAAAACCTTCCCCCTTGAGAGCTGTGTATTTATCGCTCTTTCTTTGACAGACACCCTCTTCTGAACTTATGTTACTTGCCTCCCTCTATAGCCCTTTCAGTAATATTTTACTGTCCTTTGCTCTAACATTCCCAAGTGATTTATGTTTTATAGACTTTCTTCTAGTACTCTGAAGAGTCTTCCGGCACTGAGTGTATTCTTTTCAGGTTAAACTCAGCTTTTAACAGTAAACTCTAAACTAGTTTTACAGTTCTGAAATTAAACCCCCACTGCCTGACTTCTGGCTCTTGAACTTAATTTTTCTAACATCAACAAAAGTCAAGAGGTATTTCCTAAAAGAGAAAGCATTTATTCAGAAACTATATATTTAAAAAGTCTAAGCTCTGAAAAATGCAAACATGGATAAGTCACTGTGCCTGCCCTTGAGAAACTTAGGCAGTTGTAAATGCATGCCAGTAATTAATATACTGCATACCAATACTGGGCATTGGATGGTGGGGGAGAGGACTGAGTTCCTTAAGAAAAGGATAAAATATTTTACAGGTGCAGAAGAAGGGGAAGGTAATTTCAAAGAGTGATTCATAGAAGGCTTTATGCAGAATCTGGCATTTAGATTGGCCCAGATTTAGAGATGGAAACCAAAAAGAAGGCACTAGGGCCAGCATATGCCCTTTCTTAAGCACTACCCAGCACTGACCTCTGTTGATATGTAAGAGTGTCGGCCCATTGTCTAGTTCTGTGTTCTTAAGGGAAACTAGAAACTTGGATTTTGTATGTTATCTCTTAATTTTAAAATGTGGGTGCAGAGTCTTTCTAAGCGCTGTGTAGACCAAATAACTACTTCTTGTGAGTCTGATTTTGTCCACAAGATACCAATTTGTAACCTCTGATACAGGACTTTTCTTAATGTAAGTGATATGATCTTAATTCAACCAATGTTTATTGAACAAAGCACTATGGTGGGAATGTCTATATTGAGAACCTGTTCCCTTCCCTTTAGGGAGTTCTGCTTAGTTGGGGAGAAGAGCCAGGTAGGCGCTATTTCTATTTTTTTATTTTTTTAATTTTACCTTACCTATCACAGTGTCCTATATATGTTGACCTTTAATAAATATTTGTTCTTTGTTACAACTACAAGACAAGGCTATCCAGTACCCCACCCTCTCTGTTCTTTGACCTCAATCAGTACTGTTTATCTTTGCCTCCCTCTTACTCTAGCATCCCATTCCCATGGTTGTAGCCTTCCCTGCCCAGCCTCTGCACCTTCCTCTCACCTTTTTTGGGATGAGGGATTTTTCTTTTCTGTTCCTGTAGTTCCCTCTGTGTACCCACTATCAAAGGATCTTCTACACTGTATTACAAATAGTTGCCTTTACTTGCTGAGACCATTCCCAAGAGTTGGAGGGATCACTCAACTGTATGAATTGGTGTCTCTACAAAATATTCTGGTGTCCTACTGCAGGTAGCCCCTGAGCACCACATGGCAGTCCTTGGGGGAGCTGCCTTTCACATTCGCCTAAGTGGCCATTCCAAAACCTCATCATCTCACCTCATCCTCTACCCCAAGCCTGTTTTGAAGATGACCTTGCCTCCAAAATCACAAACAAAATGAAAGGTGTGAACTCCTCAACTTTAATTTCTTTCTCTTCCCACCTGCACTATAATGTAAATAAAGGTTAAGCACTAGGGATCTAGAAACAGACTGTTTGACTCTGACACTTGCTATCTTGGCAGCCTTGGACAAGTTACTTAATTTTATTAGTATAATAGGGTGATATAAGGATAAAATAAAGTAGTTCACATAAAGCCTGTAGAAGAATGCCTGGCACAAAATAAACAATAAATGTTAGGAATTCTTGTTACCAATGGTATTATTGCATATTTACCTGCATCTTTGCCCTTCTTCCTAAGGCAGATACTTCCCTGTCCTAATTGTAACTTTTTTGTCTCTACAATGACTGACCTTTTAGACTTTTGATCTCCTCTACCTTTAATCTCTCCCTATTCCCCATTTTACCCTTAGCACATAATAGACTGAAAACTGTCTTTATTAACTAGTTTTCCCTTCTATTGCCCTGTCTAGCCCTTTATAGCAACACTATGGAAAGAGTCGTTGGAATTCCATACCTCCCATTTTCATTCACTTCTAAATGAAAGTGAGTGACGCTCGCTGCCATCTGGCTTCCACAGCCAATCTGTTGAAACATTTGTTACTTAAGGTCCTGGTTGACCTAATTTACAAATATAGTTGGCTTAGCAAAACCTTTAACCAGGATGAACCCTGCTACCCACCATCTCTGTGCCTGCACTGAGCAGCTGAGCATTGCTGGAGAGTGTTACGTAACTCTGTTGCCCGGCCTCCCTTCACATTCATGATTGCAACCAAATCGGCCCTACTGCTGCCCAGCAACCCTCTCATGTTTCCCTAGCAGATCACTGTCCCAAATCCTGAGATGACCATTTTACACCTTTAATTTTCTTGTCAAACCTCTCATACCCTGTCCTCATAGTCTCATTCATCTGGTAACTTTGTTTATACTTAAGAAAATAGAAGTCATTAGATATGAACTTCTCGCCTGCCTATCACAAAAACCTACAGATCTGCTGAACATGAATCCATCTTCTTTTCATTTCATGAAATGGTTGAAGCCCAGTTCCTCCGCTAGAGCAGGATCTCCAGGCCCTCTCACCTTCTGTAGTTATTTCTCTTCCTCTCCCTGTCTCTCTCCCCATGAATCAATTCCTTTCTGACAGGACTGTCATCTGCATGGCTTTCAAGTCTGTGGCCCTTACACATTTATCCTGTGCCACTTTCAGCACTTCATGGCTCTGCTCTAGCCAGCTGGTCTTCTACCTGTCAGGCACTTGCTCACTCCAGCGCCTTCACACCTGCTGCTTGCTCTGCCTGGAGTACCTGCCTCTCCCTGACGCAAAACTTTGCATGTGCACACACATTCATCACACACTGGTTTTTTTCACATTCTTGAGGCCTTTCTTGATCACCTGGATCAAAGTTGATCCCCGCTATTTTTCTCTAAGCCCCTTCTTTGTTTCTTTCTTACCACTACTGCAATTTATTTATTCTTGTTTACTTTTTTAGGGCAGGAATTTTGTCTCATTCGTGGCTAAATTGCCAGGGCCTAGAAGAGCTCTCTGCACATAGTAAGCACTCTGTAAATATTTCTGACTGACGTCCCAGTGAATAGTGTCACTGTCTACTCAGCTACTCAGCCAGCCAAAAACTTGAGAGTCTTTGAGGCCTTCCTTTGTCCTTCAGTTTTCTTACCCAGAGTCCTTTCTTTTTGTTTAACCTTTCAAAGATCTCCCAAACCCATCTCCACCATCACTCCTGCCAATTTCGTTTTTAACTCTGTCAGCAGCCTCCCTGCTGGTCTGGGCTTTTGCTTTCTTAGTCACCACGCTTCAGCCTCTTCTCTCACTGCTGCTGCAGAAATGTTTCAGAAACAAAATCTGATCATGCCTTCCGCTATTTCCAACTCCTCGGTAGTTTTCAGTCCTCTATAAAATATAGTCCCAAAGTGTAAAGATCCTTTATACTCTGCCTCCCTTCCACCTCTATCCCCCAGAATCTAATTTATAACCATTTCTAACCACTGAGAGTTCTCTCTGAAATGCCCTTTTCTTCACCTATCCAACATGCTCCCACCATCCTCCATTAAGACAGATATAAGAAATACCAATATAGAAAAAACTGCTGGCCTTGAAATTCATAAGTCTGGAGATCACTGATCCAAATTATTGAGGTGAGGAAACTGATACCTAAAAAGTGTCACTGACTTGCCTTAGGGCACCAGCTAGTGGGTGGCAGAACTGAAAGTAGGCTCCATGGCTTCTGATCTCTAGTCAACACTTGATCAACAAGAAGAAAAAGGAGCAAGAGGAGAGGTTTTAAGTGCGGTGAAAGTATTTAATAGATAGGAGAAGGGCATTTAAGTGAGGAAAACCAATATGCACAGAGGGGAGAGTGAAACAGATGTGCAGAAAGAAACAAAGACCAAAGACTGAGAGAAAATCCTGACATCTTTGCTGTGCATACATTCAGGTCCTTCCTAAGGTTAATGTCAGGAAAAATTGTGAAAGACTTTGAAATGAGCAAAAAAAGATTACTCACTGGGTGTCTTGGGATTATCTTTAAGCTATTTTACAACTCTTAAATTGTAGGATATTGACAGTAATGCAGATGATTATTCATAGAAATGCAGGCTGTGTTCAATGGAGATTCAATTTATTATTACTCTGTGAATATTGTCCAATTTTGCTTTATTTGTAAAGTCAGGAATCCTGATTATTTATATATATGTATGTGTATTTTGAATTCTCTCTTGAACCAGTTGCAACATCTTACTGGTTTCCTCATTAACTGATGAATTAAATAATATTTTTGATGTATGCTTATTCTATATTCATATGAGAGTCTTTCAGGAAACACTTTATCTGAGGAATATATGCCTGTGTTTGCTTAAGTTGGAGGAGAAGGTGGGGGCAGGGATTACAGCCATATGTTGGCTGTGAGTAGGTATCTCAGTGACAAGCAGGGCTGATTTTCTTAAAATACCTAGATTGAAAAATTAGAAAACTAAAGTACTGACTCAAAAACTTTCTAGACTTTAATGTTTTCAATGTTTACAAAATGTTGTTAAATATGTTCCTTCCTCCCTATAGAACCTCTACTATAAGTGGTTGACTGTAATGGATCTTTAGATATATACTTCAAAATTCTTATTCTAATTGAAAACCAGATCTAGCAATAGTAGGCAAATGATATTATTGACATTCAGGAGGGAACTAGATACTAACTAAATCTTTCCTTCTTGTCAAATCTTGCTTTCCTTTGGACAGTTTAAATGACTGCATTTGCACCAAATGTATCTCTATTGATGCCTGCTAAGTGATTTTTTTTTTTTTTGCAGTTGTAATTTTGTGGGTCTGAATGATTGAAAATTTATTAACAGCAGCTGCGTTATCATTGTTATTCCTGTAGCATGAAGCTGGCTAATTGCTATAATACCTCGCTGCTAGAAAAGACAAAAGGAAAGGGGAGACCCATAATAACAGACCATTTTCCATAATGTTTGCAATTTGCTAGGCAAATTGATGGTTTTAAGGATTGGAAAACTGCGGGAGTCTTCCCATTAGCTGTACTTTAAGATATAATTAAAATATCATTTATAGCCCTAAAAAAGGAAATAGCAAATTATATGGGGCATGGATAATTTTGGCTAGATTTCCTAAAGACAGATATAAGAAATACCAACATGGTTTTATTATTTTAATTCAAGAAATTTTAACTCTTTAAAATGGGAAGGAAACTAACATTGACTGTGTTACATATTGTGCTAGGTGCTTTATATCCACTGGATCTCATTTTAATCCTCACATCATTCTAATTTTAAGGATGAGTAAACTGAGACCCAAAGTCGTATAAGCAGTAAATAGTGTAATGTGGATTTAACTTTGTCTATTAACTCCAAGCCTCCGTTGAATTAGAACTTTTAAAAATTTCTAGGTTCCCATGTTCTTAATTTTATACTTTGAAGGTTGCTCCATCAATCATCATTCATAATATTTACCTAAAATAAAATGTATATGTAGAACATAAACAGTAAATTTGGAAAAACACCATAATTTCAGGTATCCAGTTAAGTTAGCTGAGAATTTAATCTGTCAAATAATAATTCCTCTTTGGACTCAAAGATGTTTTTTTTCCCTTTACCCAGTGCCAAGATCAATAAAGGTGAGCTTCCTGCTGTACTTTTCTTCTCATTGAGTCCATCTTTATTTGCCCTTACCTTGAGGTTGTAGCCAGTTGGTGTCTCAAGCTTATGTGGCAATTGTCTCACAAATGCTTCCATTTTGAGCAAGTCCTGGCTTTTTATCTCACGGATCTAGTGGCTTGCATAACTATCAAAATTGAAGCTCATGGATACCAGAGTTTTGCAATACCTTCAGGGAAATTCTGCTTTGGAGAGCTCAGTCCCTCCAAGGTAGTTTCACTCTCTTTCTTTTATGCCCCCTGTGAAACCTTACTTTTTCTTGCCAGCTCAGCAGTTTATTTTGAAATATTTTGAAAAATAAGTTCTTCAGACTTTTTACTTATTTTCAAGGTAAGAGTTGTATATCATACTACTGAAAATGGAATTTATTGTATTTCTTCTTTATTGTTTTCATTAATTTAAACTGTAAAAAGGCAGGGAAAAAGTTGGTGTGTTTTTTTTTTTCCTAAAGAAGTAAACATTGGACTTGTATAAAAATAAAGCTTTATATTTATGTTGGTGTGTGTATAGATATATACACACACACTCATAAATATATACCATCACAGAAATGTGCTTAGCAAGTATTAATTAGGATTATTTCTGAGTGTTTTTTATTTGCATCATTTTATTTTATATAATGAGTGTATAATGCTTTTGTAATAAGAGAGAAAAATAAAATCACAATGGAAAAAAAGGACATTTTTGGAATAAAAATAAAATGGAACCAACACATAAAGTTGTAATGTTGAGTAGTCACCCCTCCTCCCACAGATATGGAAGGGAAATGTTAACAGTTGGGGAATATGTAACAGAGAGAATGGCCTAAACCACTCCCCCTCCAGAAATATTTTCTGTCTGTTTAAAACCTCACTCACTCTTTTTGGAAATGAAAAATCTACATTCCTGCCTCAGGCCAGTGGTTGGGAGAGACAGAGAAAAGTCTTTTGTTCTTTGTGCTACAGGAAATGACCCAGGGAACTGCCAGTCCAGTCTGGGCAGGGTAGATGTCCTGGAGGTACAGGTGGGCCTCCTAGGTGGGCAGAGGTCACAGGATTATCTTCAGCAGAAATAGGACAGAGATGGACGATTAAAATAATCAACTATAGTTAAACACCTGCCTACAGCTGAGAACCCACCCTTTAAAATCTCTGTATTTCTACTTACTGTTAGGATGATGACATTTTTAGACAGGAGTCTCCATCCTCCTCATTTGTTGGCAAATTAATAAACTTCTCTTTCCTTCTCCTCAAACCACTTGTCCTCTCGTTCTTCAGATGCAGCCTTGGGGACAAGTGCCAAGTTTTTGGTAACACAGTGTGTGTTGAACATAAAACTATCCAATATCTATATCATCAAGTCTTAATTGAATACAGTGTTTTGTGTAAAAAATTTTCTGGACAGGCTGTTCCTTCAGCGTTAGATTCTGTTTTCTTTCTACCATTTCAATAGATACATTATGATAATAATATACTGGGCATTTTCCCACCTTGTTCTTGCCACCTATTCCTTAGTGTTGGACAGTATGGATAATCCCAGGTTGCCAAATAATGTAGTAGATCTACTTTCTAAACATTAAAAACAAAATGTTTGTAAGAATTTTCTTTCTGACTGTACCCTCTTTATGGTAAATTTTCTCAAACTCCCTTAAATTGGTTTCTCATTAGAAATGTCAGCTGGAATAGTTACTTGATAAAATAATGTCTGTTTTGAAAATCATTATCTTTTTAAGGACAAGGAACACCCAAGATACTTGATTCCAGAACTTTGCAAACAGTTTTACCATTTGGGCTGGGTCACTGGAACTGGAGGAGGAATTAGCTTGAAGCATGGGTAAGTTTCTGGCAGATTTTATTACCGGAAATTCTCTATGTGAGTAGACCACAGAGAGCCTAACTCGTTATGTCCAGAGAACAACTGATGATCAGTTTTATGTAATACTGAAGATATTTGGTTTCCAAATGGACAGACATTGGCATAACTGAATGGAAGCAGGATGCAGAAGTTGCAGATAGAATAAATACCTAAGTATTTAAGAACCATGATTTCTAATTAGAATAATTTGGTCCTCAATTTTTGGAGTGCCAGAGTTAAACAACATGCTGCCAAGTATATTTATATGCCTGGAATTATAAAGGATCCTCCCTAGGTAGACATAATTTGTTTCAAAGGGTCAGAAACATATTTTTTTTTTTAGAAACATATTTTAAAGTCACAAATACATACTACTAACCATTGAAAATGCTAAAAATTTTATCAAGTCGAAAGAAAAGTAATATGCCTTGCTAAGCTCATGTATCATTATTAGTGGATACCTCTAGTCTGTATTACTCAGAGAATAAAACAAGAGATATTGGACTTAAGTTGAAACAGAAAGAATAAATGGTATTTAATTGTTCATTGGATTTATTCAGTGTCGTTCATTCAAGAAGATGAAGAAATAACAAGTTAGTGTTAGTAAAAAGTAACTTACTAACAACGAAAATAAAGATTGTGGAATTTCATTCTCTCAAGAGTTTTTTTTTTCTGTTAAGACAAATTTATTGTTTTGGTAGGAATACATTTCATATTAACCAATGAAAATTTAGTATCCACATTGAGATATGCTGTATAGAGAATTTGAAATTACATATGTAGAACTTGTATTATACTTCTATTCCACAGTGTTAGGTTGGATTATATGATTTCTTTAGTTATCTTCTTTCCTTAAAATTCTTGTATGCTAAAAAGTTCTTTTATAGTTATTCATCTTAAAATTTTTTTTTAATTTCAAAGTATTATGGGGTACAAATGTTTTTGGTTACATGAATTGCTTTTGTAATGCTTGAATCAGGGTTAAAAGTGTGCCCATCACCTAGATAATGTTCATTGTACCCGTTAGGTAGGTTTTTACTCATCCCTTTTTTCCCCTTCTCCCCTGATTGATTTCTTTGAGATTTATTTCCCTCTGTGCATGTGTGCTCATCAGTAAGTTCCAATTTAATAGTGAATACATGTGGTGTTTGTTTTTCCATTCTTTATATGCTTCACTTAGGATAATGGTCTCCAGTTCCCTCCAAATTGTTGCAAAAGACATTAAGTCATCCTTCTTCATGGCTAAGTAGTATTCCATGGTATACATATACTACATTTTATTAATCCACTTATGAATTGATGGGCATTTGGGTTGATTCTACGTCTTTGCAATTGTGAATTGTGCTGCAATAAATACTCGTCTCTCAAGGGTTTCTGAAATAGGATTAATGTTTTTCCTCCTGAAATGTTTTAAGAATATCATTATCTGGAGGCTGAGTGTTAAACTGGGTGATGTTTCTTTATCCTAATTATCTTTCTTTAAAGAAAAAAAAATTTTTTTAAATTTTAAGTATTTATGGTCCTAAGGAGGCCATATTGTATAGTAAGGAATAGAATGTAAAATAAAATCAGAACAATTTGAACAAAAGGGATTTTATGGCATACCATAATATAATACCACTGTAATTTCTTCTGCTTAAAATTACCGAGTAACTTATAAAATAATAATTAAACAGTGGGAAATAACAAGGGGCACCTTAGTCAACCACTAGCACAGTTATGGATATAAGATCATGTTCCACGTGGTAGATCAGTACATTAATCTGTGCCTCTCTTTACATCACCCCAGTTGTTAGAGTGTAAATTCAGCATTGTGCAAGCTTTCAGATTATTTTGCAAGAACTTTAAAATTGTCCTGTTCACAGCAAACTCTATAACATTTATTCCTGTTTCATTTATCCACTTAGAAGTTAAGTCCTAGTCATTTGGTTTCCTAATTATATTATTTATAAATAAATCATATTCTAAATGTTGCCTTTAGTTAACTGCTTTCTATTTGCATGTGTAGAAATAGTTTGTATATGTACAAAATAGGGCTTTCCACCAAACTGACTAAAATAACCAAATCTAACTCTGTCTTAAAAAACACACGTACATAGTAGTTAAAAACAGGAGAATGTAGAACTTGAGGGAATTTTTTTGATCAAAAAGGAGGAATTATTTTCTTTCTAGCAGAATTTTACTAATCTGTACACTACAACTGTGTGTGGTCACTATAAACCACTCACTCATTGGCACATCTTTTAAAATTAAATGGCTTTTATAGTACTACATTCAGTTTATAGGAAAGTTGAATCATATGGTAAAATGCTTCCGCCTTGGTTAAATTCTTAATGGGCGAGGAGCTCCTCCTGGAGGCTATGGATGGAAAGAGCCAGTTTTATGGCACCGTATTTGGAATCTTTTTAAATTTGTGCTTTACAAAGTAAAATGAGTATTTTGTAGTAAAATATTGAATTTTTTCCCTAATATTTAAATGACTTCATAAGCCCACATCATTAGCTTTATCAGCAATGTTATTCTCATGTTGTTAGTGAAAGTTAGGTCTTCTTAGTCTGATGCTCAGGGCAAGTAAATCTGGAATGAAGTACAGACCCATAAATTATGTTTTCAAAATAATACTAACAATAACTTCTTTGGGAATATAAAATGATTTTCTAATTCCAAGGTTTGGCTGGTACCATTCTAGCTTATGCTTTTAATGTGTGGTACCAAAAGATGTATGTAAAAGACAGCTTAAGACACATATGAGTTAAATCAGAAGAAGGAAATAGAGGACCAAGAAAATAACAGTGATCAAGGCAATTCCAGGATGTTCAGCCATTGTGTTTACATAGGATCCCTACCATTCAAACTTAACATTTCCTGTTTTCACGGTATAATAAATTGCAGGTGTCAGAGACACTAATTCTGTTGCACGCTATTAGAATACAGTTAATAAACCCATATTATAGGTAAGATAATTGGGGCATAGTAAGATATAATTTTTTTTTTTAATTTAGAAAGTAAAGATAGAAGCAACTGAACATAGGGGTATTATGAACTCTTGGGTTTTGGCTCTTGCTTACCACACAGTGAAAGAGCAAGGAGTATAGAAAAATATATTTCTAAACTTAATACCTTGAAATTCAAAATGCTTTTTGTTTGTGGCTTACAGCCCCAAATAAATACTTCATTTTGGTCTTTGGCATGTTTCCCTCCTAAAATAAAAGCTCTGTCATCTTTGTATTTTTATCTGGATATCTCTTTGTAGATGTAAATATATTTTTTTCTAGATGTATTTAGCTAATCTTTTTTTTTCCAATTTTTAATCTTTTAATTACCCAAAGTTGATCAAAGTCTAAATTGATTTCCAGTTTACAAAGATAGTAATAAAAACCGACTTAGCATACCAGATCGCTTGAATAAACAAAACAAATACCCTTGGTTTCTCTACTTTATAAATGGGTTTATTTACTAGTGGACCATTTGGTACTCTATTTGGGTCTGTTCCCAGAACTGCATAAATTTCTCCCCACATGAAAAGGCCTACAAGTCCACTTACCTGTGGAGGTGAGTAGACTCTATACCATCCATGATTCTAGTTGTAAAGGGCCCTTTTTAATAGTATGACCCCAACCCATAGCCACTGGTTCCAGAGGAATGTCCGTCTATGCTATCCTTACATAGCAGAGCTCTAAAATGATAGCCACTTCATGAAAGCGAGTGCCTGCATGCAAGCCTAGTGTGCATCGGACTTCTCTCACATTGTTAGGCATTTATTTTCTAGACTTTACCAATGGAACCCTACAGAAACTTTCATTTCACCTTAGATTTTTATCAGTTCCAAGCCTACAGGTGTATTAGTAACCCTGACTTTGACAGCTTGGTATAGGCCATCATCCTCATTTTCACTGTGAGACATTTGATACTTGTTCACTATGTCCATGCCTCGGTGGCAGAAGCTATGGCATGTAGGTGCTGGCATTTTTTGGTTTGCATATATGTGGCAGCTCTTTAATTCTCTCTGACAGCAACTGAAACTGATAAGTGAGCCAAGGGACCTTTGTTGAGTGTGGAGAGAATTTAGAGAAGATCTTAAAATTAATCTCCAAATCAAATTTGAGAGTCCCTGTGGTAAATGGTAGAGCGTAGCATCTTAGCATCTCCCTTAGCACAATATCCTGTAGCAAAGAGATCTCCACATGTAGCCATTCTTCTCACTGCTTTTTGCAATTGTTTTAACTTTGTTACCACGTATTTTCTTTCCAAGAGACATGTGCTTTTCAAATAGGAAGCATAGGCTTCTGTCCCAAAAGTAGCCCAGTGTTAATGCTGTAATTTAATAAATTGTCCAGCAGAGGTCTCTGAACTTCATGGTTTATAATAAGAGCATTTTAAACAATAAAATTAAACCTGATTCTTTGCATAACAGAAATATACTCCTTTTGAGCATATTTTCTCTTGGTCAGATTTTTAAATAAATATATTTCACATATAATAGGGTAAATTCTGCTTATTAGTACTTAAAGATGTATTCAGATTTTTTATTTCCCCTAACTAGATAGGAGCCTAGTTACCATTGATTTTACACCTTAAAAAGAAATGAACATGTATGAACACATGGAAGATAAAAGCAACTACCAGCATTTTAGTTTGCCACCAACATCACAAAGGCATTAAAGTAGTTTGGCATTCTTCCTATGCAGCCTAGATCTATAATTAAATCAAGCAGCTATTTTGTATGGCTTGATTTATAAAGAACATTAATGATTGGACTGCAAAGATATACTTTCCTTTGTACAAAAGCAAGAAATTAGTTAAATAAATACCAATTTCTATATTTTGTGTTACCAGCAATGAAATCTACATTGCTCCTTCCGGAGTGCAAAAGGAACGAATTCAGGTATGGTTAAAAGGGATTCTTCTAAAACTCAAATGTCTTGTCTTGTGTACTTAACTATTGTCTTGTGAAGTGGAATTAATTGTAAATGAAAATGTTAGTTTTGAAGGGTGGTTATATTGTGATAATTTAAATAACAAATCAATAAACATTTGTTGAGTAACTATTAAATGTTTTCTTAAGGTGGTAAATGCCCTCCATATAACTAATGAATGTTTTGAAATCTCATTCAATCTGTAGAGGGTAAAAGTGAATAGTGTAATCTTAAATCATAATTGGAGTGATTATAACTTTGTAGCCTTGTAACATTATCAGGCTAGTGGGGTAATCAAATTGATGGTGTCAGATGGAACAAAATGATTCCTATTTCTTAATAGCAAAGCTATTCCAAATTCAAGTTAGAAACTTTGTTTTAAATTTTGAGAAGACCTATTCTCAATTATTAATGCTGGAATAAAACCCCAAATTTAGTTAAAACAAACATACAATACTTAACTCTATCTAAGGCAAGAAAAAGAAAAGCTGCTTTATTAATAAGACATTTATATTGTAGTTTCAAATAAACCCTGACAAATGAAAGTTGCAAGTCAGAAATACACATGCATTACTGAGAAAAACCTGTAGATCTATGTAATTCCTTAAATCTTTAAGAAGAATATCTTATTGCAATTTACCTTTCTGAGTACCAGTTATGTTTCTCAGGGGATAAGAAGACTTTGCTTTAAATTTTTGCTCTTTATGAAATGTAGGGGGAGGGGATTGTAACACCCATTTGGGAATGCTGGTTTCTGTATATAGTCTTTCTGAAATAGAACTGTGAAATTACAGGGCAAAGTTGAGAAGCTAAATTGATGAAATGACAGCAACATTATTACATACATATTAATGTTCCATATCAATTTTTTTCTTCAAATTCTAAAGGAAGATGATTTTTTAGATTTTCAAGAATATTTTTGTTAGAAAACATTTTTTATTTCTCAAAAGTGCTAAAATATTTTGAGAAACTATGATCATATGAATGTTTAAAGCAGGCATCCTCAAACTACGGCCCACGGGCCACATGCGGATGTTTTTGCCCATTTGTTTTTTTACTTCAAAATAAGATATGTGCAGTGTGCATAGGAATTTGTTCATAGTTTTTTTTTAAAGTATAGTCCGGCCCTCCAATGGTCCCAGGGACAGTGAACTGGCCCCCTGTTTAAAAAGTTTGAGGACCCCTGGTTTAAAGTATGAGTTAAAGTATTTATACATGCATATTAACACTCTGTATGTGTGCATATGCTATATATATACACACACACAAAAGAAAAGGGGCATTACTATGTACTGATCATATCTATATTGATATTGTATTATATAAACTTTGTTTTTCTCATTTTCCTCCTCTATGAATAGCCTGAAGACATGTTTGTTTGTGATATAAATGAAAAGGACATAAGTGGACCTTCACCATCTAAGAAGCTAAAAAAAAGCCAGTGTACTCCTCTTTTCATGAACGCTTACACAATGAGAGGTATGCAGAAAATGCATTCAACATAAAGAATATCTGCAGAGATTTTACCGTTAACTATTATTTGAGTTAACGTTGCATGAGTGCCTACTACGTGCAAGAACTGTAAACGCATTAACTCATTCAGTTCTCCCATCAGCCTGTGAGGAAGGTCCATTATTATTCCATTTACCTCCTTACCCACCACCAACTTATTAGTCCATGCCAGGAAAAATAAATCCATAACCATAAAAATACACAGAAATAAATTTTTGTTTTCTTTAAAAGTTATAATCTGGTCTTCATTGAGTGCATGACTTTCTGCTTCCTCCTTTAGGAGCAGGCGCAGTGATTCACACCCACTCTAAAGCTGCTGTCATGGCCACCCTCCTCTTTCCAGGGCGGGAGTTTAAAATTACACATCAAGAGATGATAAAAGGAATAAGGAAATGTACCTCAGGAGGGTATTATAGGTATTTTCTTTTTTTTCTTTTTTCTTTTTTTGGCTTAAATAATTTGAAAAGAATTTTTCCTTCTCTTTGATAAATGGGATACTGATCTTTTTGTGTGTATAACGAGGTGTTGTGGAATCCGTGTTAAGTAATACCCCACTTAATATTACACTTCCAGATCTATTCTCGTGACACAAATTGGATGGCTTCCCTCCTCCCCTGCCCCTGCCCCAGCCATGGTAAATTATTAGCAATAAGAATAATGAAGTATTTGTTTAAGTAAACTGAAAAAAATCTCTGCTGAGATTTCTATAGAGAAGGAGAGATTGTGTTCTATGTTGAGAGCAAGCTCTCCTCACCTTCACTTTGTCTTTGGGAGATTTGAACCATGACTAAAGTTTAGGCTTTCTGTTTATGTAATGTATTTCTAGAACATTTTCATATTTATAAAAGTTTTCTAATCATTTTAATTATGTAAATCTTTATATTTTTAGAATTTTTCAGTGTAAAATGTTGTATGGATAGTAAGTATAGAACAGTGATCTTCTAGATAAGTTTAAATAAATCCACCAGCCCACAAAAGTGTGGTAACTCTTCTTAAATCTGGAAAACAATTGCTGAAGAAACATATTCTCAGTGCTCAGAATTTCATTTGAGTTTAATAGCATTCTTATTCCTGAGACTTCACCTTTCTTAATTTCCTAAAGGGCCTGTTTCTACCTTGCCTTGCTTTTTTAGAGGAAAAGGGTGCCAGTTTTACTAGAGCATTCTTACAGCAATATCATATTGTTACTGCATGTAATAGAGCATACATGTTTAAGTTGGTGTGCTGAGAAAATAATTTGATTTGATTTCAGTTAGTATTTATTGTGTGCCTACACAATAAATTGTGTTCCTTGGTGCTTTTGTAAACACCTATTTACAAAAGTTAAATATTTAAATTGTGCCAAGTGAACATACTAAAGAGAGTAAGGCCCCATATTACCTTTTCCATATCTGGGTCTTAAAGGAGAGGTATGTGGGTGTTATCAGTTACATACGCATTTGATTGCTTTGGTGAAGAAATAAAAATAGGTCATAAGAAACTATTTTTCTGAAAACAGGGAAAAGGAGAGGTAGAGGAAGCATAATAGCCTTTAGGATTTTGTGGAAAAGAAGGACATGAACGAAAAAATTCCATTTGTTATGTGTAATATATGTTTTATATTATTTTGAATATTTCAGAATTTGAAGAATAAAAACATTCGTAAGATGCCCTTTGCAGTTCTGTTGGAGTCTAGCTGAGAAATGAGTAACAGGGTCATTATCAAAGCTTAGGAGGCAGGGATATTTTATCTGATTTTGGAGAGAATCCTAAGAGTTTAATCAAAAGAAGGCCAATGAAAGTTGAATGAAGAAAGAAAGGATGGAGGTTGAATATTCTCTATTCTCTTTTCCTTTAAATACACTCATGTGTCACTTCACAACAGGGATACCTTCTAAGGACTGAATGGTTAGGTGATTTTGTCCTTGTGCGAACATCATGGAGTGCACTTATGCAAACCTAAATGGGATAGGCTAGTACACACCTAGGCTATGTGGTATAGCCTATTGCTCCCAGGCTGCAAACCTGTACAGCATGTTACTGTACTGAATACTGTAGGCAGTTGTAACACAATGATAATTATTTGTGTATCTAAAACATAGAAAAGGTTCAGTAAAAATACAATATGAAAGATAAAAAATGGTACACGTGTATAGGGCACTTACGATGAATGGAGCTTACAGAACTGGAAGTTGCTCTGGGTGAGTCAGTGAGTGAGTGGTGAGTGAAAGCAAAGGCCTAGGACATTACTGTACACGACTGTAGACTTTATAAACACTGCACATTTAGGCCACACTAAATTTAAAACTCTTTTTCTTCAGTAATAAATTAACCTTAGCTTACAGTGTAACTTTTTTACTTTATAAACTTTAAGTTTATAAAGTTACAAAAGTTTTTTTTTACTTTTTGACTCTTGTAATAACATTTACCTTAAAACACACATTGTAGAGCTGCACAAAAAATCTTTCTTTGTATCTTTATTCTATAAGCTTTTTTCTATTCTTAAAATTTTTAATTTTTTTGACCTTTTAAACTTTTTTACTAAAAACTGAGATACAAATATACACATTAGTGTAGGCCTACACAGGGTTAGGGTCATCAATATCACTGTCTTCCACTTCCACATCTTGTCCCACTGGAAGGTCTTCAGGGGTGATAACATGCATGGATTGTCATCTGTGATAACAATGCCTTCTGGAATACCTCCTGAAGGACCTGCCTGAGACTGTTTCTTCTCTCTATATAATTCTCTATATATAACTTTTTAACTTATACATATAACTTATATGTATATAAATAACTTTCATATATATATATGGAGTATACTCTAATAAAAATATAGTATAGTAAATACATAAACCAGTAACATAGTCATTTATTATCAAGTATTATGTACTGTACATAATTGTATGAGCTAGGCTTGTATACAACTGGCAGCGCAGTAGGTTTGTTTACACCAGTATCACCACAAACATGTGAGTACTGTGTTATGCTGTGACCTTACAGCAGCTACAAGGTCAGTAGGCGATAGGAATTTTTCAGCTCCATTACAATCTTGTGGGGCACCAACATGTTTGCAATTCATTGTTGCCAGAAAGGTGGTTATGTGGTGCGTGACTGCACTAGTTCTTACCAGGGGGGCTTAACATGTATAAATGTAATTGTCTTTCCTTTTGGAAGCAACATGCCTATCGTGTAGAGAAAGCAATGCAGCTTGATGGTCAAGGACTTCTCTGGCTCTATTTCTCATTTAATTTGTCGGGATCATCATCCTGTCTGTAAAATGGAAAGGTTGGCTTGAATTAGCTTTCAGGTCTTATTTTTGCTGTGAAATTATTTTGCAGCTGGAAATATTTCTTACCATTCAGTGTGTGCTAGAAGAAAATATTAAGTTTGTGTTTCTCTTGGCCAATATTAGGAAAGATTTGGGACTAGCAATTCATTCCTTCCATATTTAAGGATATTTTGTAATTATCTTTGTTTTACTTAGATGAAATAATGGGCAACTGCATATTCTTAATGATAATGGTTGGCCAAGTTATCACATGACAGTTACTTAGTGTATACCTGCCTAAAGTAGCAATTTCTCCCATCCAAGTACTAACCAGGCCCGACCCTGCTTAGCTTCCAAGATCAGACGAGATCGCACGCATTCAGGGTGGTATGGCCATAGACTAAAGTAGCAATTTCTTAATACTTTAAGTTTCAGCACTACAGAAGTAGATATTACATTAACAATGCAAGAGAAATTCATGTAAAAAGGAAAATTTATCTGAGTTTTGATTGGTTATGACCTCAAGAATAGACTTAATTTTGCCAATAACTAAGTTATTTGTTTAAATATTATTACATTCTGATTTTATCACATGTATTTCCTGAAAATGAAGTAGTTCTAATGCTACAGATTTGAGAATGCTCGGAAAGTATTATCATACATTTAGTAGTTAATCTCTAGAAGGTTCTTGTTAATTAGTGCTGCAAACCACACTTGGCTATATTGATTTTCCTTATCCAAGACACTTTGGAGTCCTGTAGAGATGAAATATTATGATTTTTGTATGATTGGGAAATTCTTACTTAATATGTAATGTAGTTTTTAATCCTTTCTACGATTCTGATTTTGAAATCTATCATTTCTCATCTCCTGTTAAAAATATTATGATTGTCCGTGCTTCAAGGAAATGCTTGTATGATCTTGATGATTTCTTTGTTAGGTTTTGGTATATGCTATACAAATTTCTGCCAGTTATACTTAGGATTAGAACAATGCCTGCCAAATTCCCAAGGTATCTTTTGATATAGATGTTTACACAAGATACACAGAATAACATGCAACATCTTGTTCATAATTTAGAGTGGCTTTCCAGATATAAAGAGAATGTCTAACCGGTTACTTGAAAAAATTACATATTGTATAAATATGAATGCCTTTATTGGTTTTAATTGGAAAAAATGGCTTGTTTTGTCTTACAGATACGATGATATGTTAGTGGTACCCATTATTGAGAATACACCTGAGGAGAAAGACCTCAAAGATCGAATGGCTCATGCAATGAATGAATACCCGGACTCTTGTGCGGTACTAGTCAGACGTCATGGAGTGTATGTGTGGGGAGAAACATGGGAAAAGGCTAAAACCATGTAAGTGTAACTCAGAGAACATTTGGGTCAAGTTACCACACTCTAGATGTGAAAGAGAATGAGATATGTTTTATGATTTAAAATGAAGTATGCTTTTTATGTTTTATTGGTCAATAGATTTAAATTTAAGTAGTTTATTGTTAGTATTTCTAGATATTTTATTTTTATTATGTATTCATTCCTTAAGAAATATTTATTGGGTGAGTATTATTTGGCAAGGCTCTATGGACTTTGATAGAAAGAAGAAGGAAATACAGATCCCAAGCTACGTAAGTTTTATTTTAGAAAGTGGCACATAGTAAAAAGATATAAATTTATGTAAGTAGTATATTTTAAACTCCCTTTGTTTTCCTGAGAAGCATATAATTTGGTTGCATGATTCAATATGATTCCTCCTTTCTGTGTTTTAAAAATGTGGGAGCAAAATAAGAAAAATTTTGCCTAGAATTCAGGGGAAAAATGTACTAGGAACAAAATAGAGTTCACTGGACAGAGAGGAGAAATGTGATTGTTTAGGATTAGAGAACTCTGTTTCAATAAACACATTCAGTTCGTTTTTTCTTTTACAGGTGTGAGTGTTATGACTATTTGTTTGATATTGCCGTATCAATGAAACAAGTGGGACTTGATCCTGCACAGCTCCCAGTTGGAGAAAATGGAATTGTATAAGTCAAAGGAAGTTTAATCATATACACAGATGAAGCTCAACTTAAATATTAAGTGAAATTTGACTATTTTTTTAAATGAACTGAAAATTTCCATGCTAATATTTGTCACTACGTACTGCAAATGGTCACTTTGACTCTCTTCTGACATTGGATGGTATTTGCTTATATTCTTAATTTTAAGTGATCAGGTAGTGGAATAAAAATTTTATACTCAGTATTGTTTGTGTTTCTTTTTAAATCCTCAACAGCAAAATATTTGTCTTTAACTTAATTTCTTCTTTATGTCTACTCACAGGATTCCTCTTAATCTTTAAAACTGCTGGTGAGGGTAAACTCTTTATTGGGAAACTCTCACTTAATCATGGAATGAACACTTTCTTGTTTTAATAGTCATATCAAATTTATGTGAAACATGAAGGCCAAATGTATCCCTCAGTGTTGATGTCTAAACAATTTTATAGATTTCCCTTATAAGCTGTAGTGTTTCCCCTATAACGTAATGTAGGGCCCTCATTTTATATTGGAGTCAGTTGTGAAATTCAAATGAGGTGTTATTAATTCAAACTCTCCTAACCTAACAAACCCTGACCAAACCAGTGATGTAATCAGACAGTGCTTTGTAAATGTAGCCAAAAAGCAACATCAACTTAATCATAAAGGCTTTATTTGATTAATGCTTTTTTAAATTGGGGGACAAAATCAATAATGCACCATCTCCAAAATGTTAATCTCGTATTCCCACCTCTCAGATCACCATCTTCTAACCTTCTGAGCTCATTTTCTCCAGATCTTTCACTGCAACAATTCTTTGACCTCATCCAAACTCCCAATCTCTTGATCTCACCATTTTTCATTATCTGTTACTCCTTTCATTTTCTTGCTTCCTGCCTTAGTAAAGCATAGATTGCATGGCCCAATATTCGCAGCACTTCATTACAAACATCTTAGCCCCCTGTGTCTTGTTTCCTTAGTCATACACACCTGGCAATGACCTCAGTCCTTATTTTTGATGGCTTCTACTTTTTCAGTGCAAGAGTGATCAAGGTCACTTCCATTTACTCGGCACCTGCGCACAGCTACAAGCCCTGCTGGGGGAGAAGTACACGGCACATTGACTGCTCTCAGTTCAAATGGGGCACTCAATACTGCCGAACAATCTTGCTGCAATTCCCTAGGAAGTCATTTTCCCAATCTTATGATTATTTCTCCTCACACTTCCTTCTTTTCCATCAACTCTCCAACGTTCTTTTCCCACCAACTTTCAGATGGTAACTTTGCCTCACATATGAAGAGATAAAACAGATTCATTAGGAAGAGAATTAACTAATCATCCCACCTCACGTTTTCACCAGCCTTCCTACCCACGGCCACCTTTGCCACTTGTCCCTCTACAGGGTTGGCTCTCAGGTCTCCCACTTTTGCCTTGGATCCATTGTCCTCTCCCCAAGGGCTTTGCTTGTACAAGGATCCCCACACTTATCCCACTTCCCTTGTACTCTCACATTTTTACTCTCTTTACTGGGTCTTTTCCATTGTTATAGAAACATGCCATAACAGATACCACCTCTTAAAACACGAACCTTGCCTTTGACCTTCAGCTAACTCCATCACCTTTAGAGCAACATTTGAAAGTTTTCCATCCTTCTGTCATTTTTCTGTTCTGCCATGTGCTCCCTGGTCCACTCCAGTCTGGCGACACCACTCCACTAAAGCAGCTCTTAACCAAGAGTAACCAAATTCCCTCTGTCCTCCTGCTTTCACTTTCTGGCTTTAAATGGAACCTGTCTTTCCTCTGAAGACAGTTTCCCCTGACCCTGAAGTGGTGGTGGTTTCACTTCCTCTCTTACCCCTGGGACTGGGGGTGGAGTGAGTGAATTTCTTGAATGCTAAATGTCTTTCCCCTTCCCTTGTTGCATTGTATTCAGCAAACCTTCCATCCTAGTGAATTCCAGCTCTCTTCTGACTCAGCACCTGCATGTGTGAGTGTGGCAGAAGAAAAACACAACCTTGTTAACGTCAATTGGGCCTTTACTGCTGATGGAATTTTACTTCCTTTCCCTCATCTATTCATTCTCCACACCTCTGGACAACTGTTTCTCTCTCCCTTCTCAAACTTCTCACACTTCCCTGCATACTCAACTCTTGGCCAATGACCTTGATCGCTCTTGCACTGAAAAAGTAGAAGCCATCAAAAGAGAACTTCCACAGGCTTCTAGCCTGCCTGCAGGTGCTGCGTAGTACGTACAGATGAACTCTCCCTGCTGCCCACTAAGGCCAGCCTCCTCACTTCTGCAGTAGAATGCTCCTGTCTCATACTGAAAGACAGCATTCCAGCAATTTCTTAACCCCCCAAAAAACACCATCAGTTTTGTTCTTCTCACTAGACTTTTCCCTTCAACTCTTACAAAAGAGAAAAATGTGTTCCTATCTCTCCCATCTTTAAAAGTCTCAAACCCACTTTCTTCCCGGATACTGCCTCATTTCTCTGCATTTGTCTTAAGAGTTTCTCAAAAGGGTTGCTGTATTCTCCCTGTCCAATTCCTCTTCTCCAATGGGAAAACTAGCTTTAGTCACATCTCCTTAACTTCATTTCCCTTATTTTCACAAAGAATCAAATGAATGATATAAAGTATGTGAAAGAACAAACCACAGTGCTTGATCCCTGGTAGATGTTCAATAAAAGTTACCTCCGTTTCTATAAGTCCCATTTAATCCTCGTAATAAGTCTTTGAGTAGGCATTATCCTCGATTTTTTTAAATGGGGAAATTGAAGTTCAGATAGGAAAAATAAATATGTAGAATTTAAATAAGAGAATGTAGCCTTAACACAGTACCTGTCATAGACTAGGTATGCACTCACAATATAAACTTCCTTTCCTAAAAATCCTTCCCCTAGCTGTCCTCAAGATAATTGTCATTCCAGTAAGTCATTTATGCTGCAGCAGCACATCTCCAATTTTATGTTTCTTCATTGTGAATGCAGAAAAGATTTACAAAACCTGCTTAGAGGTGGGGTAACAGCTTTGTATCTCCTAGTTAATGTTCTTTTTTTTTTTTTAAGAATATATCCTTCCAGGCTGGGAACGTTGGCTCATGCCTGTAATCCTAGCACTCTGGGAGGCTGAGGCAGGAGGATAGTTTGAGGCCAGGAGTTCCAGACCAGCCTCAACAAGAGTGAGGCCCTGTTGTTACAAAAATAGAAAAATTATCCGGGTGCAGTAACAGGCACCTGTGGTCCAAGCTACGTGGGAGGCTAAGGCAGGAGAATCGCTTAAACCCAGGAGTTTGGGATTGCAGTGAGTGAGCTGTAATGATGCCACTGCACTCTAGCCCAGGCAACAGAGTGAGAATCTATCTCAAAAAAAAAAAAAAAAAAAAGATCCTTCCCACATGACTGCTAGGAGCTAAGGTCCAAAGGTAAATATAAACGCAGGCTAGGAGGGCTAATTCTCTGAGCCTGGTACATAGGTGTTGAGTGCACATGGGAGGAGGCAACGGGCATTCTTGACATGCCCTTACGACTGTTCTCTCAATTATTCCTACTTCTTTAAATAAAAGGGAAAGTTTGGTTACGAATGCGGGGTTAAACTGGTAAGGGGTCTAGATCAAACGCATTTTGTATTTCATTTAGTACAGGACATGCCATTCGCTCTCAGATTGGATAAGGGATTAACATATTTTAGTCAAGAGACTGTCATTTGTTTCTCAAAACAATGATTCTAGAGCCCTTTGATTCTACCCAAGTCTTTTATGAAATACTTCAAAATAATATAGTTTCTCAGAGAATGTTCCAGATAATAGTTCTGAAGTGTGGTAAAGTCATAATATTATATTAAGGAGTGTTTCATCTTATATTTCAATTTGTTCAAATAATTCCCTTTTGAGAAGGAAAACTTTTCCATGGATTTTCATTTATTATTCAACTGTATAATTAATTTTTATCCTTTTAAATATGAACATAGTATTCCTTGTATTATTTTATACTTACACTTTTAGTATCTTTTAGTTTCCTTACTTCATATTATGCATTATTGCAATAAGGACCACAGATTTGCAAATTAAGCCAGGGAATTATTTCTTTTGATATGCAGTAGAGCTGCATCTTAGGTTTGAAAGTTGAGTAAAGTGAAAATTCCCAATACTCAAAATTACTATAAAAAATCCTTTAAAATCACCCTAACATACAGTAATTCATAAGTGATTTGTGAATTTAATCTAAGTTCTTTCATTCATTCTGTAGTGTTTATCCATGGTCCTCAAGTAATCATTTTTTGTTTTCTTTCTTGAGGATGTTCTTAAGGATGTTGTCCAATGCAAATACCTTCCACCTGAACAGTGTGTTTTAAAATCACTCACACACTTTTCCGTTGGTCTTGTCAACCCAAATGAATGACTGAGGCAAAAATCTCAATCAGTGGAGGTTTGTTAAGCCAAGAGTTTGAGGATCCACCTGGGAAAAAACTCAAACCGCAGAACAATCTGTGGCTGTTGTACTCTGAAGGAGAGGTTGGAAGTTTCAACATTTTAAAGGCATACACAGAGAAGGAAAAAGGCAGAGTGGGATAGGGGGATAGGGCCCTGATAAGGTAGTGGCTACATTCTTATGATGCCCAAGAAATCTACATGTTACATAAAATAAGGGAGTAAAGGAAGCATCAATTATGTAGATGTCCTGGGTAGGTGGAAGAATGCCTGATTCTGTCTCCTCTCCAGTTCTGTTACCTGTAAGATAAACTTGTAATTCATTATTAGTGTGGAATCAGATAGGCTTTAGTTTTAAGTGCTAGACATAGGTACAGTCTGCATGTCCTTGCTTATAGGGGTAAGCAAGAAACTTTCCCAATGGATGACTGTGGGGCCAGCCCTTCACACTTGCCTGAGGCTGTGATTTTCTTTTTGCAGTTTCACAAATGCTCATTGTTGGTTTCAGGTTTAATGTATCTATTAAAGTGAATATTGCCCTGGTATATAATCCCTTTAGGTTAATTTAAAAATGATTCAATACACTCTGATTAGAACTTATGATCTAGCTAATTAGGATCTGTTATCTTTCCTCATGCCTGGTTAAAATTTTCTATTAATAAACATTTCTTTCCCATGCTCTCAATATAAAAAGATTGTGTATATGTGATCTTATGCTTATTTAGGCTTGCATTATTTTTTAAAAATGGGTGAAAGGCAAAATACCCTAAGCCAAAGAAAAACATGTATTAGTATAAAGAATAGTACACTCTTGAAGCAGTCAGTTGTGTTGGTGTCCAGTGCTCCCGGTCAAAGCCCTGATGACCATCTGTAACTTACCCTGTTTGATATAAATGATCTGAAGCTGTGGTCCCCAACCCTGGGTC